AATTACGGTGGAAGGCGAATGGGAAGCATTGGTGGAAGTGTGTAGATGGCCACCTTCTCCCCACGTCTTCACAGATTCTTCCCTCTGTGTCTGTGTCTAAATTTCTTCTTCTTATGAGAACAACAGTCAGATGAGAACTCACCATAATTGTCTCATTTTAATTTAATTACCTCTTTAAAGATCTGGTCTCCAAATATAGCCACATTCTGAGGTACTAGGAGTTAAGGCTTCAACATGTGAATTTTGGTGATGGGCGGTGGGAGTGGGGAAAGGACATGATTCAGCTCACAGCAACTCTTCTCATCATTTAGAATGCAGCCTAAATGTCCTTGGGAAGGCTTTCTTTTCCTCCACCCCACCCAATCCAAAGTAGATTTCCCATTATTTTCATATATAGCATGCTGTTCCCCCTTACACTTATTTCATTTTGTAATTGCACATTCATTTATGGATCTCCATCTACAATGGAAGTGTCATGAATTCAAGGATCATCTCTTTCCTGATCACTGCCATATCCCCAGGATTAGCATAGTTCTTGACCCATAGTAGGCAGTCGAAATAAATTTGTTGAATGAACAGATTAATGAAAAGTCCAGAGACTGAACAGAATCTAGCAACTTTGCATCTAATTGGACTGAGGCCAAAGGAGAGGTGATTCTTACTTATGTTTAAAGATCAGCAGAACAAATGATTTCACACCAACCCTTAGTACTCCTCACGGCAGCCTTTTGGCATGAAATGTGCCAAGTGTGACCAGAAATCGATTCAAGCTCAGAGATAGGCAGCTGGGAAGAATTTATAAAATTATTGCTGGTGTGTGCTGTGACATAACAGCCCAATATGGCACCATAGGCCAGTGTCTGACCAAAACTAATGGCATTGTATTTTTTGTTTAAAAGATAAGAAAATTCAACCTTAAGCAGGGACAGAACAAATTTCATTCTTGTTCAATTGTTTTAGAGGATAATTAGATTTAGACTCAATGTGAAGTGGGTTTCTAGGTGGATCCATTTTAAAAATGTTATATTTGGGTTGTGCCAAGGCTTAGTGCATCTGTACAGTTTTACTCTAGCTTCTGGTTCATAGACGGTTTCTGAAAGATCACTGTGAGTCTCAGCCATTCTCATGCAAGATCTTACATCCCAAGAATCTTCTTGCTAGAAGGTCCTGAAGACTTATTTTGTGTAGTCCCCTGGCTGCAAAGTGTTCATTTGAGTCATCCAAGGAAGATTGTTCATTTATTTTTATTTATTTAGCAAACAGTTATTGAGAGTTTACCCAAGCACCATGGATTAGCAAAGAAGCATAAGATATAGCCTCCACTTTCAAAAATTGCATCTTGAGAGCAGAGGCCAAATCGTGGTCTTATTTTTTCCTGTCCAGTGCCTGCTGCAATTGTTGTAGCAGGAACAGCTGTGTGGTGACGTTTGTCATTTTTTTTGGCTGCCCAGTGTTAGAATCTGCATCCACTGTTTGGAAAATTTCTCCTTGTGTGAGTCTTGGGGGGAGGCAGAACCCTCCTCCTGCAAGAGAAGCTTCGAAGATGAGGTATTTACCTTCCCAGGATCCTTTGCAGCTCAGGTGTGATCATGTGACATGGAGTTGGCCAGTTAGATGCACTTGTGTGGGACTTTGAAATGGAATCAGTGTCATGCAGAATAGAGGCAATGGAGGATCAGTTATGGAGGTGGCAGTAGCAGCAGTGGGTTTCTAGAGGGCAATAATGGTGCCAATGGCAGCACTCAGTGCCCAGGGCTACCAGGGGCTGAGGTCTAAACTGTAGTGCCCTTGGCTTGGGGATTGCTGCCGTCCTGCCTTCCCTGAGCTGCTCTTGCTGCCTGAGTTTGGCAGAGGTCCTGGCTGCTTGCCAGACTTGGCTCTCCAGCCTTCCTGGTCATTCTGTGAGCTCCCTCATCACCCCCAAAATGCTTAAAGGAGCCAGAGTTGGTTTCTATTGCTTGCATCTAGGAAACCTGGCATGTGTAAACTCTTGGGCTGCTAACCCGGAATAACAGTAAAGCCACTTTCTTACTTTTCCATAATTCAATTAAAATTTTATTCTGATATCCCATTATGTTGGGTGGTTGATACTTGATCTCAGTCAGTTCAGAATCTCTTCTCTCCACTTCCCTCCCTTTATTGAAAAAATAAATTTAAGTTCCAGAATACATGTGCAGGATGTGCAGGTTTGTTATATAGGTAAATGTGTGCCATATTGGTTTGCTGCAAAGATCAACCCATCACCTAGGTATTAAGCCCCGCATGCATAAGCTATTTATCCTGATGCTCTTCCTCCCCAGCGCCCCCAGACAGGCCCCACTGTGTGTTGTTCCCCTTCCTGTGTCCATGTGTTCTTATCGTTCAGCTCCCACTTAACAAATGAGAATATGTGGTGTTTGGTTTTCTGTTCCTGAGTTAGTTTGCTGAGGATAATGGCTTCCAGCTCTATCTGTGTCTCTGCAAAGGACGTGATCTCATTCCTTTTTATGGCTACATAGTATTCCATGGTGATATACGTACCACATTTTCTTTATCCAGTCTATCATTGATGGGCATTTGAGTTGATTCCATGTCTTTGGTATTGTGAATAGTGCTGCAAGGAACATGTGTATCTTTATAATAGAACGATTTATCATCCTTTGGGTATATATCCAGAAATGGGATTGCTGGGTTAGATGGCATTTCTCGGTCTCTGAGGAATTGCCACTCCCCTGTTTTAAAGGTAACATTTAAAAGTAATTTTTTAATATCACAAAGTACAGAAAAGATGAAAAATAGGGGAAAATGCTAGCAATAACCCCACCATTCCAATTCAACAACTATTACTTACATTGTCTTCATCTTTTTCATGTGTATGTTTTCACTAGTTTATGAATGTGCTCAGTGCAAGCCATTCTTTATCCTGCTTAAAACATTTTAACTTATTGCATCAACATTTTTTTCTCATGACTTCTGGTGTTTATAATTATAATTATGAGTTTTATTATAAAAGTTATATATTTAAAAAGTTAAAATATATAGAAGTTACTGAAATAATACAATAAACATCCACATACCCCTCTTAGATCAATTGTTAACATTTTGTTATATTTGCTTTCTCTCTTTGAAAATAATTTGCCAGAAATTATGGCACTTTACCTCTTAATACTTCAGCATGGATTTTCCTAACAAAAAGGACTTTCTTCTACATAATTGCATTACCATTACCATGGTTAAGAAAATTAACAATAATTTTCATAATATCATCTAAAATCTAGTTTATAGTTAAAATCCCTCAATTATCCTAAGAATGCCTTTTATAACTGGGGTTTTAGAGCCTGACTTTTTTAAGTTCCAGGAGGCTTAAGTAATACTTAATAATAATAAAGTGTTGGGGGGGCAAGCAGGGAGATACTGTTTCCTGTGCCTGGATTGTAGCTATTCATCCCCTTAGTTCCTTAATGGCTTCTTGGGTGAACACTCAAAACAGCTGATTCCCACCTCTGATTCCTTTCTGGAGTTTCTGTGGCTTCTAATGGTTGGTAAGAGGCAGCTATTCCCAATGCCCAAGCTCTCCCCCTCCTCCCTTCCCCTTTTATGGAGCCTTGATGGCAAGAAACCCTGGTCTCACTCATGTTTGAGGCCCAAGACCCTCCAGGGTTCAGGCTTTTGAAACTTAAAAGGCTTTCTTCTGCTTTCAACTACCTGTGGTCTGACCACTCAGAGAAGGGTCATGGGATAACATACTGATGATGAGAGGAAAGAGCATTGGTTAACTTTTCAAAATATTATCCTGGCTTCTATGTTCTGTGCAGACATTAGGACATAGACTTAGCTGTTACGCCCCAGGACAGTCATACTGGTTGTCAAAATATTAAAATACTTCTCAACAAGAGCATGAATTTTATCATCCAAAAAGGCAACGTTGGCTTGTGCGCATTCCTTCATCCTTCTCGTATGTATATTTTTAGATCTAATCAATGCATTGGCAAATGATTAGCATAAAGTCCACTGTCCCGAGCCCCCTGTCCTCTAGACAGCCTTACCTCTTCCCCAGGACACTTCAGATCTCCAGCAACCAGTGGGTGAATGTCTAGAAGAAACAGATGCCTTCAGGACCCTGTTTACCTCTCTTCTGATGGGTCAGTGCCAAGACTTCTGGGCTGCTAAGTGTTTTGAATAGCCCCATGGAGCAAATGTAAATCGGATCATATCACCCTCCTGCTTAAAATCCATCACTGACTTCCTGCTTCGCTCAGAATTAAGTTCCAGCTGTTTTACAGAGCATGTAAAACCTTACAAGATATGGCCCTTGCTTTCCTCAGCTGCTTCTCTGTTTCCCCTCCACCTGCTTTGCACCCTGCTCTTCCTACTGGTGTTCTAGCTGAAATAGGCTCGTTCACTCCTTACGGATTCCATGCTCTTTTTGTATTCTGGATCCTCTCACAGTTGTTCCCGTTGCCTGGAGTTGCCTCACTAATTACTACTGATCTTTGGATTTTGGTTTAAATGCCATCTCTTCTGGGAGGTTGTCGCTGAACCTTCCAGGTCTGGGTTCAGGCTTTCTGTGCTCTCTGAACTCCTTTTACTGTAGAATTTATCCCAACAATTTCATATTATTGCTATGCCTTCCTGTTAGGACTCTGGACTTCAGAGGGCCAGCACCCATTCTTATCTTGCTCATCATTTGACCCCAGATGTCTAACATTGTAATAAATGTTCATTGGAAGAAATAATGACATTGATATAGACATTTATATACATCTATGTGTATATAGGTATATACACAGAGAGACACATCTGAGAGTATGAACAGATGAGAATTGGAAAAAGGGGAAGATTTGGGACACAGCTAAAATTAGAATGATGTCATCTCAAGTTTCCAAATAGGAACATTGGTATAGGGGGAGATTATGTAAAAATCTAGTAGCCTGGTGGAAGGGAAGTGGCAGAACCAATGCTGACTGGATCAGGAGATTATCTTACAAATAATTCACAATCTAGGTCTCTTAGAGACAATGGTTTAGAAAAAAGCTGTATCTTTACAATACAAAGGAAACAACCCTCCATGCCCCTGAGCCCATCAACAAAGCAAAGAGACTCCTCTTTCTTGCCACTCAGGGAGACAAAGCATTTGAGATGAGTATTTGATCCCAAGGCCATTAAAACAATAATGAGGCTGCACCCAGCATGCTTTTTCACCTAACAGTGTCCCTTGGCTACCACAGAGGCTGCCTCCTGGTTCCTAAAGAGCCCCACCTGTTTCATAAATGTTGACCAACCTGCCCTGAGTCATAGCTGCTGAGTCACTTTGTGCTGTAATTCCGGGGCGTCTGCGTGGAGGTGTTTTCCGTCCTGTTCAGCTAGTGCAGTGGTCCCTAGTGGAGCTAGTCCAGGCAGGGGTGCCCCAAAAAAGGCAGTGAGTCACCATCCAGGGCTTGGTGTGAGGGAATGCCTCTCAAGAAGCCAGTTTTCACCCATGCCATAATAAACAGGAGGGTTTATTCATTTACTCACGTATTCATTCTTTCTACAGCCCCTACTAAAAGGAGTTGTAAAGTTAAATTTCTGCAGGGAGTTAGTGTAATAGACAAAGTGTAATGAATGAAGAGAAGTGTGTATCAAACTAGAAAGTAAATGTCCCCTCTAAAGAAGACAGCTGCTTTTCAAGTTGAGACAAATGTTTCTCTGGGATAGATTTGTATCACTGCATTTCAGATGTGCTGTTTCCCCTCCTGCAGATGGGGATTACATATCCCCATCCCATTGACTGATTTGGCCAGTGAAATGTGGGTGAGCTCACGCCTGTAATCCTAGCACTTTGGGAGGTTAAGGCAGGCAGATCACCTGAGGTCAGGAGTTTGAGACTAGCCTGGCCAACATGGCAAACCCCATCTTTACTAAAACTACAAAAATTAGCTGTGCATGGTGGTGCACACCTGTAATCCCAGCTAATGGGAGGCTGAGGCAGGAGAATTGCTTGAACCTGGGAGGCAGAGGCTGCAGTGAGCCGAGATGTTTCCACTGCACTCCAGCCTGGGTGACAGAGTGAGACTCCATATATATAAACACCTCTTCCACCCATGTATACATACATATGTATACATACATGGGTGGAAGAGGTGTTTGTCTTCTGAGCAAAAGCTTTAAGAGATGGGACATGGTTTGCTTGGGTCTCATTCCCTTTGGCCACAGTGACAGTTGATGCTCCAGTTAGAGCTCAAGTTATGGGAACAGAGCCCTGCCTACCCACAGTGGACGCGGAATGTGAGTGAGAAATCCGCCTGAATTTTTGAGATTGTTACTGCAGCATTGCTCACCTGTCCTGACAGTTGTGTTGTTATTTTTCTTTTTTGTCAAGAGAAGCCAGAAATCCAGATGTTTTGTTTTACACACACACACACACACACACACACACACACACACACACACACGTTTTATAATGAATTCAAATTGTAGGGATAAAAACATCTGGAGAGCGGGTCAAAAAAAAATTTATGGGCCACTGGTTTCCTACCTCTGTCCTACATACTAGATAACACAGTGAAAAACCAAAACAGACACACTCCTTATCTCATGGTACTTACAGCTAAATGGAGGAAATAAATACTGGATAAAAGAAACAAAAACTGTCTGGATGCAGTGGCTCATGCCTGTAATCCTAGCACTTTGGGAGGCCGAGGCAGGTGGATTGCCTGAGGTCAGGAGTTTGAGACTAGCCTGGCCAACATGGTCAAACCCCATCTTTACTAAAAATACAAAAATTAGCCAGGTGATTTTGGTGGTACCTGCCTATAATCCCAGCTACTTGGGAGGCTGAGGCAGGAGAATTGCTTGAACCTGGGAGGTGGAGGTTGCAGTGAGCTGAGATTGCGCCACTGCACTCCAGCCTGGGTGACAGAGCTAGACTCTGTTTCCAAAAAAGAAGAAACACAAAAACAATAATCAATTTACCCTTTGACAAACACTGCAAAGCAGTGGTACAAGGTACAGTGAGAGCTATGTGAGGGGTATTAAGCTAGAACTGGGTCAGGAAAGGCTTTACTGGGAGACAAGAAGGACTTAGCCAGATGAAGGAATAGCAGTGGGATTGGGAGCAGGTCAGGTGAAGAGCACTGAGTGGGAAAGTAGGGACTCTTATCTTTCTCCTAACAATGAATTTGAGAAGCTCCAAGAAGTTTAGTGTAGCTGGAGTTCCAAATAAAAGAGATGTGGCGTGAGTGCTAAATGGGTCTTTGTAGGCCGTGGAGGATAGTCTGGGCTTTAGCCTACGAGTAATAGGGAGCCATTGAATGATTCTTAGCAAGAGAATGTCATATCTGAAGTGGCGGGAAAGTGACATTTATTTGTCTATTCTTTTATTGATTTATTAAACATCTTTGAGTGTCCACTCTGTGTCAGTAATTGTCCTAATTACAGGAAATACAAAGATAAATCCTACCCTCAAGGAACTCTGCTTAACTTAGAAGGGGGATGACACATAGACACAGCTATAAATAAAAGTAGGAATTGGTATATGCCATCATTCATTCATTCACTTATTTATGCAACAAATGTTTATTGAGCACTTACACAGATGTGCCAGGCACTCTTTGTATATCTTGGTTGTATGTTGAACAAAACATAATGAATCTTACAATTTAGGTTATTTCAGAAGACAAAGTTCCTTCCTTCCTCCCCCACCCCCTTCCTTCCTTCCTTCCTTCCTTTCTCTTTCTTTCTTATAATGACTTTCGGTGGGACTATGTCTTATTATCTCAGTTTCCAGAAATCCTTTTATTGTAGCTATATGTATGTCATTTTTTCTCTTGCAGTGATTTTTATTTTTTTATTTTTTTTAAAGATGGAGTCTCTCTCTGTTGCCCAGGCTGGAGTGCAGTGGCATGATCTCAGCTCACTGCAATCTCTGCCTCTTGAGTTCAAGTGATTCTTATGTCTCAGCCTCCCAGATAGCTGGGATTATAGGTGTGCACCACCCTGCCTGGCTAGTTTTTGTATTTTTAGTAGAGACGGGTTTCACTATGTTGGCCAGGCTGGTGTCGAATTCCTAACCACAAGTGATCTGCCCACTTCAGCCACCCAAAGTGTTGGGATTGCAGGCATGAACCACTGCACCTGGCCAGTTTCCTTATTTCCAAAAAGGGAAATGTATCCACACCACAAAATTGTAATGCTTTCATGACAAAAAGTGCTCAGCATAATGTCGGGAAGGTAAGTACTTTATAAAAGGCAGCTATTATATTATTATTACCATTTTATTAACCAGAAAGAAAAGAAGAATTTGTAAGATCAATATAATTAGATATATTGAATATAGAAGGAGTCAAGCCAGGGGAAAATGTGAGTGGCTCCCAGAGAGGCTAGAATCGATCAGGAGTGGCACGTGTATGTGTGTGTGTGGGCCTATTGGGGGAGTCATTATAGCATTTCTTGGACAGTAAAAATATCAATATTATGATTGATAGATAATATTACTTTCCCTGAGCTAAGAGTGGAAAGGAAAACATGGAGAATGAGATTGAATGGTAAAGCTGATGCAAGAAGAGATTTATAGGGAACACAGGAAGTAGATATGTAGCCATTTCCTGTGTAATTCAGGATGTCTGGCCATTTGGAGTGCTAGGAGGCCTTTGGCAGCATGGCCATAATCCTTTCTGAATTAATAAGGTAAAGAAAATATAAGAACATTCCATGAAGTTTGTCATCTCTGCCAAGGCCCTGCAACATCAGACTAAGTTGGTCAGGCAGATGCGTACACCCAGGCTGAGTCTAAAGGTACTGTCTGCGTAGGAAGCAGGGGCTCCAGATGATGGGGGCAGCCATTTTAGTTGATATTAAAAAGCTGGCAGCCATTTTGACATTGAATAAATTTTCCCAAGTGTTTGTAATAATATGGTGATAGATGCTATTTAAAGATTCTGTATTATAAACCAGTTATAAATATATTATGTGTACACACATGTGTGTATATATGTATATATCATGTATATGTATATATAACATGCACACATATATATAAAACCTGCATATTTATATATATTAGGGTGATATATGTGTATACATATGAATTGTGTGTGTGTGTGTGTGTGTGTGTGTGTATGTATATATATACATACTTTGCTAAGACATATGGAACACCACTGTCCAATAGGCATATAATACCCACCACATAAGTAATTTTAAATTTTCTAGTAGCCACATTATAAAAAAGTAAAAAGGAGCATGTGAAATTAATTTTCATAATGTTTTCTTTAACTCAGTATATCCGAAATAAAATGTTATTATTTCAACATGTACTCAATTTAAAAATTATTAATGATATGACTTACTTTTTTGTTTTTTTGAGACAGGGTCTCACTCTATTGCCCAGGCTGGAGTGCAGTGGCACAATCTTGGCTCACTGAAACTTCTGCCTTCCAAGCTCAGGTGATCCTCTGACCTCAGCCTCCTGAAGAGCTGGGACTACAGACATGCACCACCACAACTGCCTAAATTTGTATTTTTTTGTAGAGACAGGGTCTTACTCTGTTGCCCAGCCCAGGCTGGTCTTGAACTCCTGGGCTCAAGTAATCCACCTGCCTCAGCCTCCCAAAGTGTTGTAAGAAAGGCATCAACCACCACACCTGGTCCTTTTTTTCCCCACAGTTAGTCTTTGAAACCCAGTGTGTATTTTATACTCACAGCACATGTCAATTTTGATCAACCGTATTTCAAGTGTTCAATATCCACATGTAGTTAGTTCCTACTGTTATCAGACAGTACAGAATACAGAATGATGACTTGCAAACATCTTTGACCTAAGTCAGAAATATATGTTTAGTTATAACTCAGTACACACATACATATACACAAAAAAGCAAAAGTTTTATGAAAAAATAATTATACTAAGAATCATGTACTCTGATATTTTCTTTTGTGTTCTGTCTCATTCTTCCAAAAAAAAATGCTGATCATGACCTACTAAACTGATTTCATTACTATATAAGGTAGAGTCCTGTTTGAAAACCATTAGTATGGGAAGTATGTGGGGTTACATCTTGAATGGGAGGTTAAATGTTAGTGCTTAAGATAAAAATTTTGTGTGGCCAAAATTCTCTTAAATTTTCCTGGGAGGCCGGGCGCAGTGGCTCACGCCTGTAATCCCAGCACTTTGGGAGGCCGAGGCGGGTGGATCACGAGGTCAAGAGATCGAGACCATCCTGGTCAACATGGTGAAACCCGTCTCTACTAAAACTACAAAAAATTAGCTGGGCATGGTGGCGCATGCCTGTAATCCCAGCTACTCAGGAGGCTGAGGCAGGAGAATTACCTGAACCTAGGAGGCGGAGGTTGCGGTGAGCCGAGATCGCGCCATTGCACTCCAGCCTGGGTAACAAAAGCGAAACTCTGTCTCAAAAAAAAAAAAAAAAAATTTCCTGGGTCTTTACAAGGTCAAAAGGCAAGAATTAACTTACCTTATTTCTTTTTGCATTTTTAGTGTGACCTTCCTTTTCCTGAGGCATTGGGGTCAAATTCTAATGTGACTGGTTTTAAGGTATGCAGGATGAAATCTTTTGTATTTTCATAATCAAATTCATAAGGTAAATGTGGGTTTGTTGCCAACACACTGGATACAATATATGTTTAATTAATTTATATATATTATATTTCTGTATATGTGTAAGATCTTACATGACATGGCATTGGGATAAGGGCAATAAACTGCCCTGAAATTGTATGCAACTTAAAAATATTTATTGCCTTCCAAAGGGTTGTATTCCAGCTAAAACTAAGAAAACACATTGGCCTAATGTGCTTATAATACTGTAGGGAAGAAAAAAACTTTTCTTCTAACTCCCTTAGGTTCTGTAGCTGGGACCCACGAGTTAGACTGACAAAAGACAGATTAACAGGAGAAAAGGCAAGCAAGTTTTATTTGATTTTAATATTTTTATTTTTATTCTTTATGTTTTTTTTACATACATAGAGGACTTCATAGCAAAGAAATGAAGATACAAATAGGTGGTTAAACCTGGGATCTTATATACCATTTTAACAAAAGGTGATAAATTTATGGAGCAGTGACAAGACAAAGGAAAAAGAATCTAGGCTTCTAAGGGTGGTAAACTGTGGGAAGATAAATGGGAGAATCTAATGGAAAATAAGCATTATTTTTTATAAGGTTTGTTTGCATAGACCCATCTCTGTATTAACTTTATGTCTCCAGTGATAATAGCTGTTTTTCCTCTTTCTGGTATGGGAGAAAGGAGAGGGAAGATCTTCACAAAGGGAAATTTATGTCCTGCTTTTAGGCAGAGAGTGGGAGGTTAAAGAGCTCTTTCTGAATTCGCTACTTCTTAATTCCTTTTAGTGTCAAACAGTCCTTATGCCAAAATGGCTTATTTTGGGTTGGCACATTCTGATACCTTTTAATACTTCAACAATTTACCATCTTAATTATGTGAATCAATCCTGAGAATCCAAGGGGCGTTAATAAAAGTCTCTTAAGAAAAGCAAAATAAATGTTTTGACTTTACCTGGAATTCATCTTTGGAGACTGTTCATTCTTTGAAAGCAGTATTCAAAAGCTTGTGACTGATGAGAAGCAAAAAATTGATAGAAACAGGTGGGGACAGGCTCCTTGGCAGTGGGAGACATGTTCAAGAGAGAGACAGATACCATAGAAATGGGTTTGGGGGTACCTGATGTGGCCACACTTCTCTCTTGAAAGCACCCCAGGGTTTGG